AGAGCGACTGGGCAGCTGTGCGGTGAGTGCTGTCCCGGAGCGTGGGGCTGGGGGAGGGAGGGCCTCGGGGAAGGGTGGGCTGTCGCGCAGCACCGGAAGCGCTGCTCGGAGGCCTCGTCAGGGGTGGATTCGCTCTCCGGACGGAGAAGGTGTTCTGGGGAGTCGGGGGAATTTGCTCTCTAGTGGGAGTGGGGTGAGGGGTGGGTCATGCCCTCCTGTGGATGCCTGTGCTGGACTGGTGACTGCTTGTCCTTCCGCTTGTCCCTCTTCAGCACCAGGCTGAGCCCTGAGCCCTGAGAATTTGCTTCCAAGTTCAACGGCAGCATCCAGTTTCTTGAGGTCGTTGCACTGAGGGCATGTTTCCTTGCTGCCGCCTTTATCTCCTGGAGGCCCCAGTCCTTGCACGTGACCCCTGTGGCTCATAGTCAGCAATAACGCATGTCATTTTTTAGAGTTCAGGAAACCCGGGCGCATAACCTTAATTCCCTCTGCAGAGTCTGGGGTGCAGGGGGAGGATGGTCCCAGGGCTAGCCCTGCTGTGTAATGTAGCAGATCCACAGATTCCAGGCATTCAGAGGTGGACATGGGTGGGACGGGCATTCTGGCTACCACAGATTGGGTCTATGTGGCCTCCTGGCCAAGATCACACATGTACTGGGGTGAGAAAAACAAGATCTAAAGTGACCACAGTTTGTTACACTTTATAATGAAAAGACAAAATGTAGCTTAGAATAATATGGAAGGGTGCATTCGAAACTGGGAAGGGGGCTGAGTGGCTGGCTGGGAGATACTTCATAAGTCCTTTTCTACCTTTTGAATTTGGACCATATGGTTGTGCCCATTTGGTGGCAGTGATAATGATTTCAAGAATCTTAAAATTAAATGAACTGCTTGAATATTGCAAATGACCGAGTCTCCCCTTGGGAGAGGGAGCGTGATAAACAGGGTTGTTACACCCCCCGCGCGCACGCGCACACACACACACACCATGGAAGCGACATCTGCTCTGTTCTGCTGCCACATGGACAGGTGTCTTAAGTCAGTGCTCTCCCTGCTTTGAATTTCGTCTATGCCGTCCTCCTTACCACCTTTACCAAGCTAATCCTCCTGGCATGGTTCGTTAGTCCTGTCTCTTTCGTAATATAGAAATGTGGCTGGTACCTCACCATAGACAGCCAAGACTTCTTATGGGCTGCCTCCCCAGTAATCCTGTCTCTGAGCTCCATCCACACTTCTGTCCCATCTCACGCATGCCTTCTTCCACCTTTCTAAGCAGGTCTGGCCTAAAACCCTTCTCTGCACCTGGTTTAAATGCTCCCCAGCCCCAGGGCTCCGCCCCTCCCCTGCTGCCTCTTCCCAGAACACTTGCCCATCTCACTGATGCATTTGCTATGATCTGTCTCCCCACTGAGTCCCCGAGTCACTCTCACTGCTGTATCTACACAACTTCCCCAGAACAAACCCTGATTGGCATATGGTAGTTGTTGGGGAAACACTGAAAAGATGTTTCCAAGATGAAAAATCCAACTTGGCCAGGCAGCTCAGTTAGAGCATCATTCTGATACAAAAGGCTTATGTAAAAGCACATATAAGAATCAAAATTGGATGCATAAGTAAGTGGAACAAAAAATGAGTGTCCCCCCCCCCCCCGCTCCCTTTCTTCCTCCCTCTCTCAAATCAGTAAAAACAAATTTTTTTAATCCAGTCCATAGGTGGGCAGGCAATGGTAGAGGGGTCAATGTACCTATTGATGGTACAGTGTGAAAAAGGAGCTAAGTAAGGGGTGTTGCCCAACTCCAGGGTGAGCTACAAAGATGGAGCAGTAGGATGGGTGGGGGAATCAGTATCACTGTACTGCAGTGACACTGAACTGGGAACCACCCCCCCTTACCATCAGCAGCCAGGTACTGGGACCAAGTTCCCCACTGGTGCCCTCCTTCTGGAGGGACTTTGTTTGTCTCACCCTGCGCTCCCCATTAGTTGTCTGTATTATAATTAGGGGCAGAGTGCGTCATGAACTTGAGGGACCAAGGCTAGAGGCCAGAAAGGAAGTTGGCCTGGACTGGCTGCCCTGGTGTCCTGAGTGTGACACTTTGTCGTGTGTTTATCCAGGTGGGAATGTTTTGTCTTCCTGCTCAGAGGGAACAGTTAGGGCTAAAGAGATGAGCCCAGTTTGGGAGTCTTTACAGGATAAAGGTTGTAGATGCCTCCCATCTGGACACATTAACAGGAAGTTGGAGTAGACACAGAAGTGAACCCTGGAGCACAATGTAAAGAGGGAGATGAGGAACCAGGGAGGGAGCCACTGGTGCAGAGAGGACAGCCCAGGAGGGAGGAGAGGAGGATATCTACTGCGGATGCTGCCAGGAGGGCACAGCTCTGACAGAACTGACCACTAGGATGCCACCATGATGACCATGCACCTGTATGCAGCACAGGCTGCCCCTGGCTACCCAAAATCTGGGGCTGCTGGTCCTCCTGTGAGTGGGTCAGGTGGTCCACCTTCAGGGCATTGTCAGGAATGAGGGTGGGCCCACAGTGGGTGAAGGCTCTGTGGGGCTGCTCTCTGCCTTTCATGGCAGGCCTGGGCTCTTCCCATGTGCCCACAGGGCACTGTGTACCCACCTTGCCCACCTGGGGCTCTGGCACAGGAGTCTGTCACTGTGGCTGGCTGACACTCCACTTGGATCCACGGTCAGGGACTGTGATCCCTGAGACCCAGCACCAGGTTCCCCTCAGGCCTTGGGGTGCGGGGGGAGGATGGTCCCAGGGCTAGCCCTGCTGCACACTCAGCAGTGTCCTTTCTGGCCTCCAGGGCCCAGGCATGCCCAGCCTCAGAGCTCGCCCTGAAGAGGCAGAAATGGAGCCCTCAATTCCTGGACCGTCCCCTTGGACCCCTTCAGCCCAGGCCTGTGTGAATGATGCTACCACCGCGACCCACACTGCATCTGCATTCTATGATCCACTCTACTGCAGTGACACTGAGCTGGGAACCAACCCCCTCACCATCAGCAGCCAGGTACTGGGACCTAGTTCCCCACTGGTGCCCTCATTCTGAGGGGACTTTCTGTCACCCTGCGATCCCCACTAGTTATCTGTGTTATAATTAGGGGTGGAGTGCTTCATGAACTTCAGGGTCCAAGGCTAGAGACCAGAAAGGAAGTTGGCCTGGACCCTGGCTGCCCTGGCACTGAGTGTGACACTTTGGTTTCCCCGCCTGACATAGAGGGGTGCAATGTGATGGTCGCCAGACGATCCCTGTCTGGCCCAACCACCAGGTGGTGCTAGTCCTCTTCCCTCAGAGCTCTGCCAGGTCTTGGTCCTGCCCACTCTGTCTTCCTTCGCACTGCCCAGCTGCTTCCATCCTCTTTAGAGCCTGACCAGACAGTCCTTCCTAACCGCTCACTAGCTTAGCTCTTCTGTGCACCTCTCAGTGGCGATCAGGATGGTTACTCAGTATTAGCTTTCTTTACTGGGATCTGATGAGGGCTGTTGTACAAGAGGACATTCTTGTGTCCTACATGGGACTGTTATACGTGGGACATCTGAACGGAGTACCCTAGTCAGGAACTGTGGCCAAGGAAGGCTGGGCTGAGGGCAGAGATGGTGTGGGGCATGTGTGTGTGTGTCAGAGAGGAGAGGCGGAGCCCAGGAGCATGTAGACATTCCCTAGACACCTCGGGGCTCCTGATCCTGGGGTTGCCACAGCATAGTGTGTCTGGACCATGGGTTGGGTGATGCATGGGCGTGGTGGGCAAACTGAGCATGTAGCTATGCCAGGTCTGCATTGAGAACAGAAGCATCCAGACGAGCCAGGGAGACAGTGCTATTGTGGTAGCAGATTCCGAAAGTTCCAGGTGGTGGTGACCTTAATTGAAGGACAGGTTGGAAGTTGACGGGCCCAAGGAGGCTGGGAAGTGCAAGAGGGGTGTCCTTTACCTATCCCCTCAGCACTACTGACTATGGCCAGACAAGGGATTGCCCCAGTCCTGGGACGTGAGCCCTGTTGGGGCACAATCTGGGCTGCAGGCGACAACACGGAGGAGTGGTGGTCAGAGAAGGCCTTTCCAGTGAGGTGTGTTCCACACAAGGCAGACCCTAGGGGAGGGTATCTACCATGCTTGGGAAACAGCAACAGCAGGGTGGGGTGAACTCAGGGAGGGACTAGGAGGATGAAGTTCTCTGCCTTCACCAGGCTGCCTGTGGGCAGGAGAGGAAGGCGGGAGGCCAGGGGCTTGACTCAATGTCCAGGCAGGAGAAGACAGCAGCAGTATGGCATGGGTGTCACAATTTGGATGAGATAAAGACTCAAGATCTTCATTCAAATGAGAGACTCAGAGGAATGAGGGTTCCCTGTTCCTTCAGGCATGAAGAGACAAGAGGGCGGTGCCAAAACCCTTCTGCTGTGCCATGGGACCTTCAGAAAGATGGACGCAGCCGCCTAAACATTGTGCCAGGGCAAGAAATTGTTCAGCGGGCACTAGTCACACTTGCAGGTTTTAGAAGGTAAAGGTGGCTTTGGCAGGACAGGACACGGTCTCTAAAGGCTCCTGTGTTAAAAAGGACAGAATCTGACATTGCACAGGAGTCCACACCACACACTTGGAACCAACTTTGCTTCTCTGGGCCCACCTCCCCACATAGTGACTGCCCACAGCAAAGCCCAGAAGCCACTAGTTAGCACTGAGTGAACAACATGGGCCCAAGAAGCTTACAATGTGCATCATGGAAAAGAAGAAGGGTGAAATGTTTACCAATGTCATGCAGGGCATGTAATGTTTTCCTTGTGCAGGTGGGAGGGGTGAGTGCCTGGGTTTGGGACACACGCCAAGATACAGACAACAGGACTTGCTGATGACCTGCTGTGGGTGAGAAGAAGGGCAGTCAAGGGGCCCCTGGGACTTTGGCCTAAACCAAGCATGTCAAACTCACGGCCCACAGGCCGCATGCAGCCCACAACGAATATTTTTGTGACCCAGCCAATATAACGGTATGTAACAAACGTTTTAATAAAAATTTTGTAACTTAATTTTTACAATATCCTGTTATACATAATTATTAATAGTGAACTACAACGTTTACTAACAATTGATTACTATAATCCTGTTGCATTCATTCCCCTTACCCACTGGCACACCATTTCTCTCCACTAATGCTAGCAGCGAATATTTTAGCAGTCGATTGCACATCATTAGTCTTGTACTGACTTGTTTGGTGTTCACAACAGGAAATATTTCACTTTCAGAGAAAAAGAAAGATGGGTTTATTTGCGTTATGCTTATTCATTTGTGCAGTTATTCAGTGTCTGATAAGTTAATGTTCAAAAAAATATATTAATTTTTATTGAAATGTCATATTAGTTTATGTTAAAAATTACTCATTTATTTCAGCCCTTTGTATTTAGCATGTCCCTATTGAAATAAACCTACGTTTCCATGAAAATTGAAGGTTTTTTGTTTTGTTTTGAGTTTTTTTGGCACACATAAATTAAACCTTGTTTAGTTGGCCCGTGTTCACTTTTGAGTTTGACATGATTGGCCTATACCAATAGATAGACTTCAGGTGATTTCCTGAGATGTGGGTACTGGGGCAGGTGGCTAAAGGTTGTTGTTCACTTGCCATACTACCTTGTCCCTTTGGAACTTCCCTGACCCTCCCTGGTCCCTTCGAGAGATCTGGGACTACCACCCCCAGTGGGTCCCACCAGACTGTATTTTCCTGTTTCCTTCCAAGTGACTTTATGTTTGTCATTTCAGATTGGGACACCAGGATTGAGGGCAAGGAGTTTCTTCAGAAGGAAGATGTTTCTGAGGATTTAGAATCAAAGGCATAAACATTAGAAAACTGTACCAGTGATGTTTCCCTGGCACCTCAGCTTGGAGAACTCTGTGAGGACGTATTAGAAAGAGACTGGGGAGTCCCTGATGACACGAGCCAGGTGCAGTCCCTCTTCGGAGAGGAGGACCTCGCACCAGTGGCAGTGCTCCTTACCAGCCCCTTAGGGGAGGGAGAGATGCACTGTGATGATTTTGAGAGAGACTTTAGCCGGAGCCAACACCCAGTGGCGTATCAAGGAATCTCTGGGCAAGAGAGGCCACATCTGTACACGTGTGGCCAACACAGCATGGACCTCACTAGCCACGAGGGTCCCCACACAGCTGAAAGCACCTTCATATGTAATGAGTGCGGGAAAACCTTCAGAGGAAACACTGATCTAATTCAGCATCAGATCATCCACACTGGACAGAAGGCCTTTGTAGGTAATGAATGCGGAAAAGCCCTCAGCCAGAATTCAGTTCTTAAAAATCATGAGAGGTCTCCTGTGAGTGAACCCCACCAGTGCAGCGAATGTGGAAAAGCCTTCCATGTGCACTCAAACCTCATTAGGCATCAGGTCAGCCATGGTGGAGAGAAGCCTTACGTCTGCAATGACTGTGGAAAAGCTTTCAGCCAGAATTCCAGCCTTAAGAAGCACCAGAAGTCTCACATGAGCAAGAAGCCCTATGAATGCAGTGAGTGTGGGAAGGCTTTTAGGCGGAGCTCAAACCTTATCCAACATCAGAGAATTCATTCTGGGGAGAGGCCTTACGTGTGCAGCGATTGTGGGAAGGCCTTTCGACGGAGCTCCAACCTCATCAAACACCACAGGACTCACACAGGCGAAAAGCCTTTTGCGTGTAAAGAGTGTGGGAAGGCATTCAGCCAGAGCTCACATCTGAGGAAGCACCAGAGGGTACACACTGGAGAGAGACCTTATGAGTGTAATGAGTGCGGCAAGCCGTTCAGCCGGGTCTCCAATCTCATTAAGCATCACCGGGTTCACACAGGAGAGAAACCCTATAAATGCAGTGACTGCGGGAAGGCATTCAGTCAGAGTTCAAGCCTCATTCAGCATCGGAGAATTCACACTGGAGAGAAGCCTCATGTGTGTAATGTGTGTGGAAAGGCCTTTAGTTACAGCTCAGTGCTCAGAAAGCACCAGATAATCCACACGGGAGAAAAGCCCTATGAGTGTGGCGTCTGTGGGAAGGCCTTCAGCCACAGCTCCGCCCTCATTCAGCACCAGGGTGTGCACACGGGTGACAAGCCCTACGAGTGTCAGGAATGTGGGAAGACCTTTGGCCGCAGCTCTAACCTTATCCTTCACCAGCGAGTTCACACTGGAGAGAAACCCTATGAATGTACCGAATGTGGAAAAACCTTCAGCCAGAGCTCAACTCTCATTCAGCATCAGAGAATCCATAATGGATTGAAACCCCATGAGTGCAACCAGTGTGGTAAAGCCTTCAACCGAAGCTCAAACCTCATTCACCACCAGAAAGTTCACACGGGAGAGAAGCCATACACATGCATTGAATGTGGTAAGGGCTTCAGCCAGAGCTCACATCTCATTCAACATCAGATCATCCACACTGGTGAGAGGCCCTACAAGTGCACTGAGTGTGGGAAATCCTTCAGTCAGCGCTCAGTCCTGATCCAGCACCAGAGGATTCACACCGGAGTGAAGCCCTACGACTGCACGGCCTGTGGGAAGGCCTTCAGCCAGCGCTCAAAGCTGCTCAAGCACCAGCTGACCCACACCAGGGAGTGAAGCCAGCCCCCGACCTGCAGTGAGGCTCACTGCCTGCCCTCCACCCACAATCTGTTCACAAAGCTGTGACCTTCCAGGCGGTGTTTTTCACACCCTTTCTCCCTCGTCCCTCCTGCCATTGCAGCCACCTAAGGTGACCTTTCGGTTCTTTTTCGTTTTGTCTTTACATGTTATGAGCCATGTTTGTTTGGAGGGAAAAGATGATAGAGGCTGCATATTTATGAAGAATTAATTACTGTGATCAAATATAACAAAAAAAGTAAATAGGCATTTGCTTCAAGGTACCCACAGTAATTCTTTTGTTTGGTAATTAGTCACACAGGGAGGGAGTCCTTTGTCAGTGGCCGTAATCCACGTTCCGTTAACATTAAATCAGGTTGAGAGTATGTCAGGTCTGACTGCTGTCACCCACCCCCACTGTGGTGTGTACTCATTACCAGCAATCCCTTGCCTTCCTGTCCATTCCACACCTGGACACCAGTCTCCCCTGCTGCTCTCCTTCCTCTCTGCCTGTCTGTGGTCTGACACCGTGCTTTCTCCTCACAGCCCCTGCTCAGGCTGCTGCACAATGACATATGCGGTTCTTTCCCTGCCTCCGGTTCTGGGCTTTATAGTCCTGGCTGTCAGCACCACAGAGGACAGCTCTCTCCTTGCCCCACCTGTTCTCCCTACAATTCCCAGGCTGGGGGTTTTTCCCCAGGTCCATTCATCACCAGACATTTATAAAGCACCTGCTAGGTGCCCCTAGAACAGCCGTGGCCAAACTACGGCCCGGATCCGGCCCTTTTGTTCCAGCCCTCCGGTCCAGTTTAAGAATCCATTGTGGCCCTCGAGTCAAAAAGTTTGCCCATGGCTGCCCTAGAAGGTGGAGAGTGGCCCTCAGTTTCCCAGAGCTGTGTCCACGCTCCCTGAGCAGGGGGGACTTGCTCTAAAAGCAACACTTTTGCCAGCAGGAGGCTCCTGGTCACCAGCTGGCAGGTCTCAACCCGGTGGTGTCATAGGGTGGATGGGTGGACAGGCCCCTCCTGCATTGTTCCAGGAGGAGAGGAGGAAATGGATAGGTGTAGGCAGGGTTGTAACTATGGTGGGAAAATAAGGGTTAGGCTTCTGTTTTCAATGAGGAAAGAGGATGTAGGAGGCTTGCAAAAGGTAAACCCATGGGCTTGGGCCAGAATGGGCTGCCTGCCCTGATCTCAGAGACCATCAAAAGTAGCCCATCATTGCTCACTCACCCCAACAGCCCCCACCCCGTGTCCCCAAGGTAGCACTCTAGAAAATGCCACACCTGCCCTGCTACCTCTAACTCACTTGGTCTTTCTACCTCCTGGAGGCCCCCAATCTACTGACCCCTGTGCTCCCTCTCTGGCTTTACATTTCTCCTCGTCCAGCCTGAATTCGATCCTTGCTTTTTTCAGCGAGTGCTTGTTGGCCCTCACTGGGATACAGCAGGAAACGATAGACAAATGCTGTGCTTGAGGAGTTAACATCTAGTGCCGAGGACATGACCCAGTGGTCTGCAGTGTATACCAGGGAACGGGGTATACAGTTCCTCAGCTTCACAGTCCTCAGCAGCGGAGACGTTGCTCCCCTGGCGGGGGGAGGGGGGGGGCGTGGTAAACGGAGTTCCCTGGAGAAAGCTGCTGCTCACGACTGTTCGGAGGACGCTGGCGCAGCATCGGCCCGGCGTCCCCAGCTGCTTAACTACAGAATCGCGCACGTCCTCCCATTGACCTCCTGCCTCGGCCTCGGCTGGACCGAACCCCTCCAGCACCGACCTGTCCCGCTGAGTTACTCCTGAGACCTCTGAGCCCCACAGTACATGTGCCAGACTGCGGGTCACAGGCCCACGGCTCCTCCCAGGCAGCCAGGACCGCCCCCCTCGGGCCGCCTCTTCCGAGTGCGCGCCAGCGCCGCGGTGCTGCCCACCGCCTCAGGGAGCTCGTCGCACACACGGCCCCCATCGGTAAACACCGGTGAGGCCGTCACTGTCACACGTGACCACCGCCAGGCCCTCGCTGGGTACGGAGCAGTCGGCAGAAGCTACGTCACGGAGGGAGGGGTAACCCGCACCAGCGGAGGTTGGACCCGCCAGCGCAGAGGCCAAAAGCCGGACGCGGGCGACGTGCTTTTAGTCCCCAGGGCTGGCGCTGGGCGGGGTGGGGTGGGGGCACCGGAAGCTCCTAGGAGGCTGCCGGAAGTACGGCCAGTACGAGGCCCGGCGCGGGGTGGCCTCTCTAGGCAGCGCAGAGACCTCCAATCTAGTTGGCTCCGGAGCGCGCGCCTCGCTGTCACTTAGAAGAAAGGCGCAGCGAGGGGGAGGCGGGGCCGACGTCTGGCTGGGAGATGTCGCGCTCTAGGATTGGTGGTCCAGGCGAGTGGGCGGGGACTAAGGAGGCGAGGCGGGGCGTCCCCTTTGTCCCAGAGCGCTGCGGACGGCCGCCCCTCGGGGTGTGAGGCTGCGGTGTGGACGGTGAGTGGGG